TGAGGGGAGCCCTAAAGTCACTCCTCGTCTTCCCTGAAGTCCAGATTCAAGTTGTAGGTGCCCTTCACTGTCGCCTCTCTCAAATTGCATCACGAAGTCCCACCTTGTGTCTCGCCACCATAAACATGCACTCAAGCAACCTGGCCGGGTCTAGTGTCGACCCTACACGGCCCTGCCAGGTGGGAGCAGCTTCCCTTTACCACGCTGCCCCACTTMACCCTAACTTCCAGCCCTAACCCTAAGTGGCAGCCCTTACCATTAGGGTTAGGGTTATGGCAGCAAAGTCAACTCTCACCAACAAGTAGAATCTGCTCCGATACCAATGTTACAATCCTGGCCAATTTTGAAGTCCACRATCATCAGAAAGTACAATGTTGTCCAATTGCGAAAAGAAATGAATGACTTAAGCCCAATGCCGTCCAATTGCAAAGAAATGAAAGAACTTGAGAGGAGAGAGAGGGAAAGCAGAAGAAGAAGAATTAAGAAAGAAGAAGGAGATGATGTACTCCAGCATAGACCAAAGACAAAGCTCTTCTTCTTCGCTCAACAACCTCCTCCTCTTTATCTCCTCCTCTCTTATTCAAACAATAAATAAACAATAATAATGTTGAACAGCTGAACCAGAATCAATGTCCGAATCCCACTTCTACTGCAGGCACAAGATGAGGTCCACCATAGCCATGGCAACCCTTCTTCTTCCTCTACATACAGGCCGAGGCTATGGTGGACTACTGAGGCTTCAGCCTCCTGTCCAAAGGACCACTCAAAGCAGCTATGCCGCTGCTCCACTTCAAGGTCATCACCAAGCAGCTATGTCGGTGCTCACTCAGCCACCATGCCTGACTCTGTCCCGAGCTTCCTTGATGCGGCACTACCCCCACTGGGGCCTTCCTGATGCAGCGCCTAGCAAGGAGATGAAGATGGTGTCTACCATAGCCAGTAAGTACCTCGCCACTCTCCTCCTGGGTCCCCTTCTCCCTCCTCCTCCTACCGGTAGAGCTCCACCATAGCCAAGGTGGAAGCTCCCGGCTTCTTCCTCCCAGCAGCGCTGTAGTGCCCAGCGCTACTCCAGCCAGCGCTCCAGCAGCGTGACRCCCAACTCGCACACTGAAGAATGAGGCCGGGCTCTTTGCCCTGCCTCTTGATATAGCGGTTGCCTCCTGGGCGGTGACTTCCAGGCCGCTCGACCTCTCCAGGCAACCGGTACCTCCTCCGTTTCGGAGGGAAACATCATTGCAGACCCTGATATTACCCGTACAGGCTCTAGACTCAGACTGGTTGGACTGGTACCGGCCTAGACCTACCCTACCGCTACTGGACTCTAAAAATGCCAACTTTGTCTTTTTCTGCTCGGCCTCCAGTACCCCTCACGCCAACTGCAGTGGGGTGCAGTATCGGCCTACCGGCCTACTTGAGTGTTTTTCCGCTACCCCAAGGGCCTCAGGGCCGCTAGCTTCGCCACTTGAGTGTTTTCCCTGCTACAACCCTCAATGCCACGGCCACAGGTAACTTGCGGGTCCCACACACGCTCATACCAACAAGCACGAACACACAGACAGACTTAGAAACACAGCAGAATGCGGGAATCTCAGCAAGGCATCCATTCCATCAGCAGAACTTCAGAAATCAGCAATGTTCTCAGTATGTGTTTTGACGGGTCATTACACTACCCCCCCCCTCAAGAGCGAGGTCCCTTCGAGCGAGTAACTCAATCAGAGTCCTTGCACAGTGCATCATAGGCGTAGATAGCAAAGAGAGATCGGGCGTGTTCCGTAGGAGTCAGGGTAGCAGTGAACTTTGGTTGCTGTTCAACACTTATCAATCATTCATAGGCATTAACGACACGCGGTGCAGTCTGCAGTAAGTCTTTCCTAGCAATCCAATAGAAATCGTCCAACGGATGGTACAGAAAATGAACTTAGTACTGTCTGTTTCTTCCCTTCCCACTGTGTTCGACAATCCTATCAACCTCATGACCGCCATTGATTGCGCGGGGAATCATTGACTCTCGGTACTTGAACGTTTCAGGTGGTTCATATGGAAACAATTTTGACACATGAAAAACTGGGTATGTGCGCAAATGTSCAGGCACATCAACCGTGTAGGAAGGACCGAAGGAATCACTCCCTACCTGGTTCAAGACCTGCCACRRACYGTAGTACTGAGGAAGAAGCTTTCGTGATRCACCTTCTTCTTCARAAAACTCAGACATTTTGACCCAGACATAACTTCCCACTGTGAATGGTGCAGGCTGGCGCTTCTTGTTAGCATGTTTAATCATGGCACTGCGTCRCSTCTCCATAGCTGCGACAACAACTTTGAGTAGGCGATCGATCTTGGCGCTGTAGCCTGGCTGGCCAGGTGTTAGGCCCGGTGGCTGATYAGGGAASAGATAAGATAGAGGATTGCGGATTTTCCATCCAAGRTGCAGCCGGTTAGGCGTCATCCCGGTGGAGGAGTGGATGGAGTTGTTATACAACCCCTGCACGATCGACAACTCCTCATCCCAAGAGTTCTGATCAGGTACAATTAGAGCCCGGAGAAGTTGGATCACGGTCTGGTTGATTTCCTCAGCCAGTCCATTAGCTTCGGGATGTCGACCAGATGTCATCTTGAGTTTCATGTGATAGACCTGGGAGGTGAAGTCCTTCCATTCTGCGCTTATGAACCTAGTGTCCCGGTCACTCACAAGAGTTTTCGGGGGCCCACACTGCAGAATGTATCTTTTGCGAAACTCTTTGATCACAAGGTCAATTGGGRCGTGAGGTGGTAGCGGGATCAGATTCAAAAACTTCGAAAAACGATCRACAATCGCCATAACTTGGGAATAACCRTTTCTRCTCTTCTTCCCCATGTCCGTGAAGTCAATASAAACAGACTCCCCCGGACCGTYAGGAATAGGAAGAGGGTGCAGCAGCCCATAAGGCTTCTGCCGAGACGGTTTAATGCATTGACAAACTTCACACTCAGCCACAAACCTTTGCGCCATTCTTTTCATACCAGGCCACACAAACTTTTCCAACAGATTCCCGTATGTCTTCTCAACACCGAAATGTCCACTCCGGCCATGAGCCAAATCCAACAAGTGAGTGATGATTGGCTCATGGTTGGGTACACACAACCGGTCATGCTTACCGTAGCGTCGGAAGAGAAGGCCCTTACATTCATGGAAATCAGGCTGACTACTAGGGTCAGCCCGAATCTGCTCAAGGATGGGACTGAGTTCCGGATCCTTGGCAGTGTGTTTACTGAGTTCCTCTTTCAGATTCTTACGAAGGTCGTAGGAACCCACAAGGCAAGTCATATATTCGGGGTGGCGAGACAAAGCATCCGCAACACGATTATAGCAACCTTTCTTGTGTTTGAGTTCAAAATCATGCACATCAATCTCATGCAGCCATCGGGTCAATGTGGTTGATGGGTTAATCTGTGTCTGACTCCATTTCAAAGTCTCATGGTCTGAGAACACTTTGAAATGGCGACCCAAGAGGTAGTGTTTCCAGTGGTCTAGTGCCTCTCTCAAGGCATAGAGCTCTCTCATGTAGGTGGAAGCGGGTACCTTGTGACTGGGCATGTAATATTCAAGCGGACGTAAGCCATCACCATYGTCTTGCTGCAGCACCGCACSAATCCCATACAAACTCGCATYCGTAGTTACTACGAATGTAAGCTTGGGATCTGCAATGCGGAGCACCGGATGACTCACCAAAGCCTCTTTCAATGCTTCAAAGGYTGTCGTGCATTCTTCATCCCATGCGTAGGACACATTCTTGCTTGTTAGCCTAGACAGCGGACGGGCGATGATAGAGAACTTAGGCACAAACTTACGGTAATATGACKYAAGACCAARAAAARAACGYAGCTCGCGGACATTCGCAGGTTGGGGYYAWTTTTGRATGACCTCAACTTTGGTTGCCTCRGGCTCTAGGCCTGCAGCAGACAACCGATRTCCAAGGTAGATGACGTTGTCCCTCCCAAACTCAGATTTCTCCAAGTTGAGATGGAGYTGCGCGTCCTTGAGGATCTTCATCACTTCCTCAAGGTGTCTCATGTGCTCTTCCATCGATTTGTTGAAGATTAGTATGTCATCCAGATAAACAACAACAAACACTCCCCATTCCCCTGCTTTTCATGAGAAGTCTTCTTTCAAGAGTTCTTTCCAGCTATCAGGGATGTTGTTGACCAGTGCTGACGAATTGTCGTCCCGGCAGTGACATCCCTTTAGTAGCGCTTTTAACTGATTCTCATTTATCCAGTCTTTTTTCTCTTCATCCCAGATGTGACTTACCTTCTAAATCTCGTGTCTAATCCAGGAGAGCCATCTCTGGCCTCCTGCTAGTGACAGTGGCTGGTCGCCTGCACCTTTAATGTTCTTGTTCCCTATAAGAGGCTGTTGCAGCACGTCTTCTTTAGATTTGGGTTGCTTAACATGCTTAGGCATTATCTCCCTCCAAATCCCGATAAATGTTGTCCAGTACGGGGTGGGGGGCTGTGCCCATCTCGCTTGGAGGTTGCTCGGTGTCTTCTCCTTCCGGTTTTCAGCGTCCAATCCTTGTTCATTACCCGGAAGAGACCTGGCATGTTATCTGGGGTCTGGACTGGGGCTAAGGATCTGATACTATCCAGGACTAATTTGTGCCACACCAACCTGGGTTGGGTTAAAAGTTTAACTACCCATTTGATCTGCAGAGCTTTGGTTTCTTGTCTAGGATCGATTATCCCTAATCCCCCCTTTGACGGCCTTCTAGTTATGTAGTGCCAAGCTATTTTAGGAATGTACTTTGTTGTGTTTGGGTCCCCTGACCAGAGGTGCGCTGTTTAATACCTTAATAGTTGGATCTGGCATGGTCCAGATGGAGGCTATATACCACATCATCGAGAATACGGACGTGTTGATCGTTAAGGTTCTTCCTAGCAGTGAGGTGAAAGTGTTGCCCCATCTTCTCATTCTATTTATTTGATTCGTTAGCAGATTTTGTGCCATTTGTGGGGATGGGCCCTCCTTGGTAATGATTCCCAGGTATCTCGTCGGTTCCCCGGGACTCTCCCACTTAATGTCTGCTTTTGGGCCTGCCATAGGAGGTATCTCCTCCTCTGACAACCACCACCCCACCGTTTTCTTCCAGTTTATCTTCATTTCTGAAGCTAATTTGAACGCTTCCATTGCCCTGGCTATTGCTCTTACTGAGGAATCTAATGCCCTAATGAAAACGCTGAGATCATCTATGAACATTATCACCGTCGGGAACTGGGTATGGTGGGGTGAACCGGTGTTGAGCTTTGGAAGCCTGTGGATCGAACGGTCCATGCGCAAGATGGTATGACCTCAATTACGAACAGGAAGATTGGCGGGGCTAGGAAATCGCCTTGCCTCACTGATCGGGAAATCTGATATCGGTCGGATAGCACCTCATTGATTTGTACACATCCTGATGCATCATTGTCAAGGACTCTGACCCACTTTCTGAAGTTGGGTCCCACTCCCATTTTCTCCATGCTCTCGTCGAGGAAGGCCCAATTCACTTGCTCATAAGCCTTTTCGAAGTCAAAGAATAAAATTGTTGTGTTCAATCTTTTTTCCTTGACTTTCCTTGCTGCTTCATTTAGTGTGAGGACATTATCTAGTATATACCTCCTTGGGATGAAGCCAACTTGGTCTATGTGGAAGCATTTGTCCGTGAGATCCAGAATCCTTAGAGCCAGTGTTTTAGCCAAAATCTTGTAGAGGAGGGTAAGTAATGAGATTAGCCTGTAGTTCTTGATGTCCTCCCGGTCGCCCTTCTTGTACAGAAGGGTCACCACACTTCTGCTTAGCAGTTCTCCCATTCCTCCTTTTTACCAGTTGTCCTGGTAGAAGTGGAGAAGGTCAGTTCCCAACAACGGCCAGGCTTGTTCCCAAAATTCTTTGATTAATCCATCAATTCCCGAAGATTTATCATTTTTCATGCAATGGACTGCCGCTTTTAATTCATTTATGGTGATTAATTTGTCCAAGTTAGTAGCCTGCTCCGTTGTAACCGTTTTGTCTAGGAACTGCAGCATGTTGGATCTAACTTCCCTTACCGACGCTGGCGGAGTGGAGGTTGTCTTAGTCTCATATGATCTTTGCAGAACCCTCTGGCTATTTCTAGCATACCCTCACTGTCTTTCCACGTGACCTAACTCCTTGATAGCTCTTTGAGTCCTTCTATTTCGACATTTGGTTGGTTTTTATTCTCGCAAAGAAGTATTTGGTCATTGACTCATTCAGTTCATACTTTGCCATTCTTGCTCTTATTTGTAGGCCTTTCAATTCCCATTGTCTCCATAGAGCCAGTTCTTTTCTTGCATGTTCAAATGTGGCTGAGTAGAGGGCTAAGGAGGGTTGGTTTATCAGATTGGATTCTGCAATCCTTAGCGCTATTTCCAATGATTGTTTCCTTGCCTTCCTATCCCTATCCAATTTCCTGGACAGACGGGCTACCGGTTGTGATAGAAAAAGATGGTTGTCTTGGAACCATTTCCATTTGTCTTGTCCCTCTAAGAACGTGCCTTTCGAGTTATGCGAACATTCTTGAACTCCTTCTAAGAAGGTTTTGCTTAGGAGCAGGGAGTTGTTCAACTTGTGGAAGCTAGATCCTTGGCGATATATTGGTCAAAGTCGAAGATTAACTCGATTGGTTTGTGGTCCAGTCCTGAATAAGATGCCAGTGCCAGGATGTCGATCTCTTTAATGGTACCCATTAAAAAGGAAGTAGTCGATCCGGGAGAAGGTTGTGTGGTGTGCATGGTTCGTCTTTACTAATGAGAAGGCTTTCCTGTTGGGGTGTAGGGTTCGGAACGGATCCACCAGACTATGGTCCAGCATAAGTTTAAGCTTAGGTGCCGCTTCATGGGTGGCCTGGGAGACTGCTGCTCGAGAGATCTTGTCGTTATTTGGGTCTAGGGTCGCGTTCCAGTCCCTTGCTATGATGCATGTTTTGTGTGGTACTACGAGTTGTCCAACCGTTTGTATAAATTATGACCTTTCAATTGGGTTATTGGGTGCGTAAATGTTGATAATTCTGAATTCTTCATCTTTCCATTTCATATCCATTGTGCACCATCTTCCCGTTTCGCTGTCCGCATCCGTTCCTTGTACTAATCCTGGCGTGTAAAGTCTTGATGAATTAGGGATCAAGATCGTTGTGCCTTTCGTGCTTGAGGTGTTGTCTGAAGCCGAAACTTATCCTTTTCTCCTCCTAACCTTCTTGTGAAAAATTTCCTTATTTTTGCATGTTCCTCTGAGTTGGTTAAATGTGTCTCCTGTAGGAGTGTAATATCAGCTGCTTTATTTGAGTAGTCTTTGAGTCCTTTGATTATGTCATTTAATTTATCCGCCTTGGTTACAATGTTTCCCAACCCATTCACATTCCAACTACGAATTACAATTCCTTATGTTTTCCAGTTCACTTGTGCACTCCTTTCATTGGCTTCGTTCCTCGGAAGGTCCATATCCTAACTTGTCGTATGGTCGAGGGAGAGCCTATCCGATCTAGGTGGCCCCCGAGCCCCCATCTCCATTGACTCAATCGCACCATCCGAGGAGTCCATCTGAGTGTGCGTCAGGGAGTCCTCCAGTCTGTATTCCCCTATGCTATCGCTTCCACCCTTTGCTGGTGGTGTCCCCTCCTCCTGTTCCTCCTCCTCTATGTCCCATTCATCTTCTCGCTCTTCCATCTCTTTGTTAGAGCATTCATCTTTGTAGTATCTTTCCATGTCAATTCCATAAGATTTGGATTCCAGATCATCGTCCCCCTAGAAAATCCCCTTGCTAATCAACTCATCTAAGGTAGCGCCTGGGAGTTCAGCAGGTACGCCAATCCCTGGCAGCACGTTGTAGGGGATGGTTACCGTGTTCCATGACCTCCATCTCATCCCACTCCTCAACTTGGTACCTTCGAGCATTTTGGCGATGAGAGGGGTGAAAGACCTAGATCTGGGGTCTATCTTGTCGTCAAGCTTACGTTGATCCTCCTGGGGTTCTTTCATGTTTCATTCACCTGCTCAGAAGATGTGGATTCAATCTTAAAGACCCCCAATGGGTTAGCTGTTGTGATTTTCTCTTGGAGAACCAATGCGACGTTCTGCCCTTCGTCGATCCTAGGGATTGCAAACGACACATCAGTGGCGACCTGCCATTCTCTCTTTCCCTCAATGAACCGAGTCGCCAGTAGAGGTATTGTTCCCATCAGTGTCAGCCTTGCAGATTGCGCCTGTCCCAGTACTTTTGGGGCCTTGCCATTTGCAATCTGTTTGAGTGTGAAGAACTTTGTCTCGTAGGCTGTATTCAATTTCTTGAGCTTCTCTGTGCCATCTGCAATCTGTTTGAGTGTGAAGAACTTTGTCTCATAGGCTGTATTCAATTTCTTGAGCTTCTCTGTGTGGGCTTCAACGACTGCGATTGCCTGCTCAAGTTCACTTCTTGCTGATTTCTCCGCTGGAAATAGTATGCATGAAAGCGTATCAGTTCTATCGCAGATCTCCTGGCCAAGCTCGTGTCGGAGTCTTCATCTCCTTCCCCATAGATCAATCCAACCCCAAATCCCTGGCCATTCACAACACCGACCCACAAGAAGTAACTCTGAACTCCTACACGCTGAGAAAGGTGAGAGTATTGGGAAACTGGCCGAAGAGTATATTTCACACGGACACAGCAGTCCAAGACCTTGAATTCGACCCACAAAAATGGGCGTGGCTCCCAGAAGCTAACAGATTCTGTAAGAATCCCACTCAGATAACACAGTACACAGTTAAGATGGGATACAAAAAGTTTCTAAGAGCCAAAGACCCCGAGCCAGTAATCATAGAATGATGGACAAAATTGCTCGGACAGAGAAATGGAACCAACTGTGGAACTCCCCTGGCGGAAGTACAAATCAATTCGCACAGTAAAAATAAGTAGTCTCCAATGGCTGATCACCTACAATGCCCTCCCAGTGAATGCCTGGCTACATGTGCGAAGGAAGACAGCGATCCGCGCAGCTCAGACAAATGTCTGGTATGCTCAGACAACGAACAGGAAGATATAATACACTCTGATCACTTGTAAACTCGCTACTGACCTGTGGGCAAGAGCCTCAGCGCTTTGGGACCACTTATTTCCCTCTCCCCTACCCGAACACCCAATCCAACTTCTCCTACGGACTAACACCCCATCTCTTGCCCGCAAATCAGAATGCGTCTG